CTCCAGCAAGGAAAGAAACCTCACATAGATCCACGTTGAAGATGACTGGAGCTCACAAGCGTGAAGCAATCCCACACTTGGGACCGGCCCAGTTTTTTCACCCCTTTTTCCCTTCTCGTTTCCTCTGTAACATTTTGCTCTCTCTGAAAAGCGCACTATTTCCCCCCCTGTCTTGGAGAGACCAGAGGTGGACGGAACTTTGAACGGTCACAATCGGATTAGCCACTGTAGTAGGCAGGCAAACAGCCCCCGCAAACTTGCTCCGAAAACAGAAGTGTGTTTTGTTTTCTTCTCTTTCCCCGCCTTTGCTTGGTTCAACAACAGGGCCGGCCTGGCTTTGTTTGTTTTTTGGGGCTTCCCCTTTCCTTCTTTTACCTCACAGAGAGCGAAAGGGACACGCATTAAATCCACTATCGCCAGAGATGGTGGTGGGGAAGAATGGGGAAATGGGGCTATCAGATCATTTCTCAGACTACATAATTTTTTTGCGTCGATGGAGGCCACAGAGAGGGACCCAGATTTGTACAAGTTGCAGTCGTTTTCAGTTTCTTAGATTCAAGAGAAAACGATGGGTGTCCGGAGAAAGAGCAGACTTTTCAGATAAGAAAGCAAATGGCTAAAACTCTGCTGAATGCCTATAAAATATGTGTAACAGGATAATATGGATGGATCAGTCATTTCACAGAAACATTGGGTTGTGCAGGAGGTCTCTATCTAACACACTTCATTTGGGCAATTGAAAGCCATCTCCACCTTCAATTTTTTTTGCTTTCACTGCTTACCATATACGTTACTGTTTCCAATTTGATCTTCTGTAGCTTACGGAACTGTTCATCGGCCACTGGTTCAAAGATAATGACAGATGATGATCGAAGCTTGGGGGGAATTCATTTGTATTGTAGTAGGTTAAAGGGTTGCCGCCAGTATACAATCATGGAACGAAGGAAGGAAGAAGGTGGGGGGAAAAAAAAAACAGGACGTTTTCCTGTTTCTTCCCCAACAATTCATCTGCAGAATAGTAACAGTGCCTTGTTCAAACTCCAGAAAGAGTTCACAGTTTTGAAAACTGTGCTTCTGATTTTACTCTTCTTTTATTTCTTTATTTGGACACTTCAATTAACTGCGAATAAGTGCGAGCCTATCTTGATCGTTATGAATACCCGACGCTCGAAAACGAACGTTTCGTGCTTGCATATGACGCTCGAATAGTCTAAAGCCGAAATGATAATCTGTGAAAATTGAACCCACATCATATTGGTCTAAATATCATCCATTACGAACTTAAAGAGTGTTAGGCAGAGAAAAGTCATGAGACATAATCAGAATCGAAAAGAAAGATAAGATTTTTGTACACAGAGTGGTTACAAACGAAACCCTAACAGGGAAACCAACCAAGCTTTTGCCTTTCTACTTCAACTTCTTCCATTTCATTTCAATTCCTCCTTCCTTGCCCCATTCTTCTCTCTTTTTTTTCACCAAGGAAGGTAAAGGGAACAAAAAACACCAAAGCAGAAGCAAACAAATACACTTCAATAAGCAACCAGAGGACTAAAATAAGGGTGTCACGAATTAGGTCAATGGCCTAAAAGTGGTAATGGTGAGATCGCAGATAAAACAATTCACAACTGCAAAAGCGAAAACCAAAAACTATAGAGACCTTAATCTAGCTAAAGCTACCCACCAATTTATCAGAAACTTCGATGAACATTAGCTACAACACCAATTCTCAGTAGTGTCCCAATCAACGCCATGAAGAAACAGTGAGCAGGGGGACTTCATTCCAGGCTAACGAAACGAACCCAGGTTTCGATTCGATGAGTGAGTACCGTGGGCTGTAATTGTAGTTCCAAAGAAGGATCTTTGCCTGGCTCATGGCGTAATTGCTCAGCGCCACTGCTTCGAACCCGCAACTCTCCATCAGCACCCGCCATTGCTCTCTGTCTTCCATCCTTTCCCTTCTGATTCCGGGCTTCTCCTCCGGGCCGATCACTCCTGCGATCCTCCGACCCAGCAGCATTCTCTCGACTTCGAGCCTCTCCGTCGAGTCCCTGCTCAAGCTCGGCTCCAGCGACTCGAACACGGCCGAGTAGTACCTCATCGCGTTCTTGAACCGAGCCAAGTACCCGACCCTGTTCAAGCTCACTTCGTACTCACCCAACGTCACGATCCTCGGGCTCAATGACTTCGCCATTCGCAGAGCCGTCTCCACCGCGACAGGGGTCTCCTCCAGCAGATTGAACAGCTGGAGCATGAAATTGACTGCTAAAACCTCATCCTGCTCGACCCGGAAACTAGCTCCGTTCAGGTCTTCGATCGGAGCAAGAATCGGTTCGAACTCGAAGTTCAAATCCAACAGCTTGGCGAAATCGCGAAGCCGTTTCCCTGTGGCGAACAGAGAAGCTGCAGGGGAAGGTCCTAGAGCCTGTGCGGGAATGCCCGATATCCTGACCCGAGCCGGTTTCCCGGCGGATCGGGTTGCCAGAGCTTGCAAGAGGGCCGCCCATTGAACCCCTTGAACGATGCCGAAATCGACGATGTGAATCTTGGTCGCCCTTTCGGTTGCCTCGAGAATGGCCTGGTTGGCCGTCAGGTGAGCGAACTTGGAGTACGGGCAGGCGTCGTTTAGGGATTTGTAGGACAGCGTGAACTCGTCGCTCGTCGTCTCCAACATGGTCAAGCTCTTGCCCGCTTGCTGAGACAGCCGACAGTACAGAGCCTCGGCGAAGTAAAACGCGACCCGCTCAGTCGGATCTCCGTGCTCCGAGGCCGAGTCTCGGATTTTAACCAGTGATTTAATGGCCGATTCGGGTTCTGACTCGGCGAGTCGGGCGCAGTCCAGTAGGGATTTCAGTAGCGGTGGTGACGACGGCTCTAATTCCGCTGACGTGGAAGGAGAAGCTGTGGGACCCGGGATGGGTTTGGGTACCGGCGGCGGCGGCGGCGGAGGGGGAGGAGGAGGAGGAGATGTATCATTACCCGGTTTCGCTTCTTTGACCGTCGCCTCCGGCGGAGGAGATGGAGACGATGACGGTGGAGCCCACGCGGGTTGGATCGGTTTAGGACCCGATTCGGGGAAAAGGATCCGATTAAGATCCGCCGGGGCGCTGAGACGAGCGGCAACAAAGGGATCTGAGCCGTAGAGAGCGAAATGATCGGCACTGTTTTGCCACGCGTCGCAAGCAGACGGAAGATTGGAACTATCCGTTGAGTCTCCACCGCCCATTAAACTATCCATCCACTCGTCCGAGTCAAACTCACCCGCCGCACCGCCTAAATCGGAAAACCTAAACCCTCCACCGCCGACGCCGCCCTCGAACGGGAACCCGGCCTCCCCCGCGGCGGCGACAGACCCGGGAACCTGAAACGGGTCGGAAAACCCGGGAGCGGCAAGGCCGTAGCCCAGATTGGGGTTAGTGGGCCAGGGATTCAAGGGGAATGAAGTAGTGAGACCCAGTAGCTGATTTTGCTGCTGCTGGTTGTGCTGTTGCTGTTCTTGCTGCTCCCTCTGTTGCTTTTGCTGTATGACTTGTTGGGCTATGGCCATTAGATTGCCGCTGTCGGCGGCGCACATATAGGCCATTCTCCGGCCAAATCTCGCCGGGAAGTCAAATCACCTGCGATTAAAATTTTTTTTTTAAAAAAAGAGCAGTCGTCAGTAGCCAAATCCAAATGAGCGAGTCATCACTCAACACAGCGAGCGAGCCGCCGCCAGATTTACAGAGGATGAAAAGGTAAAGGGCGAGTAACGTACACTGCAGAGTCAGATTTGGGCTTTCAATTGCAGAGCTTGGGAGAAGAGGGAGAGTGAAGTGGAGAGGGAAGAAGAAGGAGAAGAAGAAGAGAGTGAGATTTCTGAGTAAAAGTTGAGCGCAGAGTGCAGACCTTTTTCTTTTATTTACTAGAGAGGGAGAGGGTTGCTGAAAAACCTGGACGAGGACAAACGCCGATTAAAGAGACGACGAGTCCACCCTAGAAAACAGTGGGACCCACTCAGAGGGAATTATTAATTAGATTTGTTTTTTATTTTTCGAGGGAATAATAGCGAATAGTGCGGATTATTATTGTACTGTTTGAATGATGGATGACGATGAAAACGCTGCGTACTAGTAGCAAGTTTCGTCTAGACTTTGCAGAAGGTACGGCTCCCCGAGGCGAGGTTGTTTACTGACGTGGTGGCTCCCATTTTAGCTCCAGGTCACTAATATCCACGTGTACAACTTTATATACGATTAATTTATTTTCCGTTTTCCTTCTAATCTCGCATGAGCCCGTCACCGGGAACCGTTCCGGTCTCCTTCCACCTCCGTCAGAATTCACCGAGCGAGTGAATAAATATAACGGTAATGACGTCATTGGCGTCTGATCTTCTCGGGGAATACAAAAAAAACTAAATCCTCACCGCCCGTTTTGGGAGATGGCGCTTTTCTGCATTACCCCAAAACGGGAGACTGTGCCCACTTGCTCCTTTGCTGATAGACAAGATGACCTGGGAGGAGGCGCCAAGTTTAAACACTTCCCTGCTTCACAAATAAAAATCGATGCAGTCGGCTGTAGTGATTCTTAATTACTCATTTAATTAAGGATCACTTTGTAATTTCCCTTTACTCCGTGTTGCATGTGTATAGGAGTTTAGGGTTTGGTTTTTGGGTATAAAACCCTTGTACTCGGCGGCTGTAACCCCAGAACAGTGAGAATAATAAAACTAATCTCGAGAGCTTCATGCTCTCCGTGGAATAGTCTCGTTCACATCGAACGGGGAAACCACGTAAATCGCTGTGTTCAATCTCTTTTCCTTTCCCTCAATATCGATTTTTACATGGTATCAGAGCTGGTTATCCTATGGCCCAGCGACGGTACCGCATATATTATCTTGAGAAGAAGCAAGTGTATACCTCACGTGATGTAAAATTCCTTGAGCACATATTCCCTTATCGGGATCTCCCTTCTTCTGTGTCTCGACCGGCCACCTTGTCCCCCGGACCCTCGTTGCCTGCTGCACTCTATGATGAGGATACAGTGCCCGTCCTTCCCGACCATGATGAGCTGGATGTTGCCCAGCCTGACTCTCCTTCGGCCGCACCTGGTCCCTCGGCCTCCCCGAGCTTTGAAGTTGCTCCGTTGGATTCTCCACAGCCCACCTCCCATTTGGACATGGGCGCTACTTCTTCTACCTCGGCGGATGCTTCCCCTGCAGCTGCCCCTGCCGAGCCCATTGTTGTTCCTCCCCCCCCCCCCCCCCCCGACGTAGCGATCGGGTGCGCAAGCCTTCTGTTCGGCTAGAAGGATATGATGTGCAATTTCCCAAGGCCGCTCACTCTACTGGCACTCGTTACCCCTTGGAGGATTATCTCAGCTACCATCGTTTGTCGATGGCTCATCACGCCTTTGTTGCCGCAGTTACAGGGATTCACGAGCCCACTCGGTTTTCTCAGGCTGTTCGTTACGAATATTGGTGTAACGCTATGCAAGTGGAGATCACTGCTCTTGAATAAAATGGTACTTGGTCACTTGTTTACTTACCTCCTGGCAAGAAGGCTATCGCTTGCAAGTGGGTTTACAAGATCAAGTTCCATCCCGATGGGTCCATCGAACGGTTCAAGGCGCGGTTAGTCGCCAAAGGATATACCCAAATTGAAGGGGTTGACTTTCATGATACTTATGCTCCAGTTGCAAAACTGGTCACTATTCGCTCCGTTCTTGCTGTTGCTGTGACGCGTGATTGGCATATCCATCAACTCGATGTCAATAACGCCTTTCTTCACGGCGACTTGGAGGAGGAAGTGTACATGCAAATTCCCCAAGGGTTTGCCAAACCTGGTGATACCCGTGTGTGCAAGTTGCACAAATCGATCTATGGACTGCGACAGGCTTCTCGGAATTGGTACCAGAAGTTCACTCAGGCCCTACTTGAGTTCGAGTTCGTCCAGAGCAGGGCTGATCATGCTCTCTTCACTTATCAGCATGGTTCCACCTTTGTTGTTGCTCTCATCTATGTCGATGATGTGATTCTTACTGGTAATTATCTCTCCTTCATTCAGCGTGTCAAGACATTTCTTCACGATAAGTTCACCATAAAGGACCTTGGGACTCTCAAGTATTTCCTTGGAATTGAGGTTGCTCGTTCTCCCAAAGGCCTGGTTCTCAACCAGCGGAAGTATGTCCTTGACATTTTGGCCGATGCTGGTCTTGAAGCCGCCCGGCCCTGTTCGACCCCTATAGAGCAGCAGCATACTCTCGGTCGTTTGGCTTCTCCACCAGCTCGCGACCCTGCTGCCTACCGTCGTCTTGTGGGTCGTCTACTCTACCTCACAGTCACGCGCCCGGATATTACCTATGCCGTGAATATACTCAGCCAGGTAATGCAGTCTCCTACCCAGGCTCACGAGGATGCGGCTGTTCGTGTGCTCCGCTACCTCAAAGGCTCTCCTGGTCGTGGTCTCTTCTTTTCAGCTACTACACCGCTCACTTTAACCGACTACTGTGATGCTGATTGGGGTGGTTGTCCCACCACTCGCCGGTCTACTTCTGGCTACTTTATCACTCTTGGGAGCTCTCCCATTTCTTGGCGTACCAAGAAGCAAACAGTTGTTGCGCGTTCTTCCGCCGAGGCTGAATACCGGGCTATGGCCAGCACTGTTAGTGAGCTTCTTTGGTTGCGCTGGCCGCTTCGTGATTTGGGGGTGCCGTCTGCGACTCCTACCACCTTGTTTTGTGACAATCAGGCAGCTCTTCACATTGCTGCTAACCTAGTGTTTCATGAACGCACTAAACACGTGGAAATGGATTGTTACTTTGTGCGTGAACGAGTGCAGGCCGGTGACATTTCTCCGGCCAAGATTGCCACCGCCGACCAGCCAGCTGATATGTTTACGAAGGGATTGAGTGTTGATCAGTTTCATCATCTCTTCGTCAAGCTTGGACTTCTCGACATTCACTCCTTCGCTTGAGGGGGAGTGTAGTGATTCTTAATTACTCATTTAATTAAGGATCACTTTGTAATTTCCCTTTACTCCGTGTTGCATGTGTATAGGAGTTTAGGGTTTGGTTTTTGGGTATAAAACCCTTGTACTCGGCGGCTGTAACCCCAGAACAGTGAGAATAATAAAACTAATCTTGAGAGCTTCGTGCTCTCCGTGGAATAGTCTCGTTCACATCGAACGGGGAAACCACGTAAATCGCTGTGTTCAATCTCTTTTCCTTTCCCTCAATATCGATTTTTACATCGGCCGCGAAATTTGGTTCACAATGAAAATGGTCAGTCGTTATTCGTTTGTGAATTGTTGATAAAAGAACTCATGACAAATAGAGAACACAAGTAAATAATGAACTGATTATATATAATCAGAATGGTAAACAAGAACGAAGGGCTAGCGAGAAACTAAACAAAGAGAAAGTAGGAAGGGGGAAAATTAGCTTGTTAATGCCTTGAACATCTACTTCATCCGACGGGTTTTGACTCACCCCAATATTTCCCACAATGATCAAAGTTCATAGTGAAGTTTCTCATCGAGAACCCATCCCACTGCAAATCTTCTTACCGAAGGAACTCTATTACGGAGACCATCACCTTCATCTGAAAGGTTCTTTCACTCTCGGAATAATCTAAGGAAGTCCAAATCAAATTCTTAATTATTATTGGTATTAATCAAGGTCCTGATCTTGGTCGAGACAATATCAAACATTCAATCATTTTACCAAATTGGTTCTAGCGGTAAAGTATTGAAACACTAACAATCTTCATGCCCACCTACCTATTGACTATCCGAGCAAACGTGCCAATACGTTATTGTAGTTGATTAGTAATTCTATTGATCCGGCATGTCAATCCAATCCGATTTTTTTTTATATTTAATAACAAGACAATCTAAGTAGTAATTTCTTAGACAACTCATTTCAGTTGCAGCCTATGTAAGTGGCGTATTTACATTTAGGGTCAGGAGCAACGCTGTCCTGTCTTAACACTTTCTTTCTTCTGAGTTTAAGCCAGAGGGTAAAGAAGTTAATTCAGAAGATAAAACACCAAAAACTAGGGTAAAAAAGATAACTCCTGAGTACGGAAGTGTTTCATTTTGTTGTTGACAAAATGGATAGGGGTTTGATTTGTCAATTAGGGCCCCGTTCTTTGAGGGCACTTACGGGCCCACAATTGGTAACTGGGCCAGTGAAAGGGGGGAAGATTAAAAACGGGCCCACCACAAAGGTAAAACGGGGAAAGACTGGACCAACCCAAATGAAACAAACAACCCTAACTTGAAAAAAGAGCAACGGCAGACGGGATTTATGACGGGGCGCCATCACGAAAGCTCGAAAAAAACTACGTTGGGTGATGGGCCCCACCACAGTCAGCAATATAGAGTAGAGTGGCTGTCGCTGTAACTTTGCTGTCAAAACGGCTCCCCAACGTTCATATTTGAAATTAACAAATGAATGAAATGACGACCAAAACCTTCCTCATTATGCAGTAGAAGTGGCCAGTAGAAAAATATATATTGTTAGGATGTGCAAGATGGTAATTCATTTATTTAATTTGTATAATTAGGTATTTATTTATACGTAATTCCTTTATTAATTGTGTAGACAGCTAAAATTATGTTTATATTTATTTGAACCTATCACAAGGTGGGGCTACTAGAGGAGGGTAAGGGAGGAAACGTTGTTGCTGTAAATCAAACACAAAAGCTTGTAATGGGAAGTGCACGGATCCACCAACTTGGATGATCCTCTTTCGCATGATAGCATTTTGGAAGGGTCGTAACGAATGAACTCTTCTCCACTAGACATATATTAGTTGGTGCGTGTAGTCCGTGGATCTCGCCTTGCCAATCTACTATATCTCTAGCGTAACCTAGTCCATGACCTAATGGTCTTCAAAAATGAAGTTCCGTCGTACGAAGTGTTGCCAAAATCTTTTGCACGTGGCGTGCTATAATAGAGGTAATCATGTATCACGACAGTAAAACTTTGAAATAAAACATGTCAAATGCACCCTTTATTTCAAACAACACAAAGTTATATGAATGAAATTTTATGGCATCTAATTGACATTATTTTTTACGCTAATACATTTTACCAATGATGTTGGGTTTTGAGGTGCAATTCCTTCGTGTATGTGTGTCAGCATGATTCCAATGCAATGTTGTATAACTTGAGAAACAGTTTGTCACTAGAAAGTGACTGATCTCTAACATCGGGGGAGTTGTTGTGGACCAAGCAATGGCAATGGCAATGGCAATGGCTATTTGCTGGCTTTCTCTCCTCTAGTCCTCTTCATCTCAAACAAAAAGAGTCATTTGTGGCAGTTAAAATTTGGTGCCAACTAACCTCACGCCACGTAATCCAATATTTTCTGTGATTTCTTTTGTGTTATTGTTGTTGAATGGTACATCACAAAGAAAAATTGAAATGTGATAACGAAAATTATAGGGTGATTTGGATGGAGATAATTCGGTTAATTGTTTCATATTTTAAAATGAGTCATTTAAAATTTAAACTGAGTCACTTCGAATTACGTATTCCAATTCAAACAATTATAATTGTTCCAAAACGAATCGATTTGAAATTTTTCTAGACCAAATTGCCATATTCAAATTTTATACTGTCAAACCAGTCAATTCGAACAAACTGTCTCAAAATGAGTCAATTGGGTCAAATTAACCCGTTAAGTTCTCTCATCCAAACGAACCGTAGAAGATAATAATGTGATTGGCAACAGCTTATTCTCCACAAAACCCTGATCTTTACAAGAGAACATATATGGTGACTTCTATCTTACTTTGATTAAATATAGACTTCGAATTAATCGGATTTTGGGATGTGACCCTAACGCTTAATGAGTGAACTCTAGGTGCTAATTATCTAAATTATAATCCATAAACCCTAATATGATGCATTTAGTTTGTTGCGTGTATTTTGATGAATTATAGCTGTAGATTTTTATTTCTAATTAAATTGATCTACTATATAGAATTAAGACTTTGATTTTAATTTTTACAAAATGATATAATATCATGTCTCAAAGTCTAGTTAATTCAAATTCTAGATAGTATTTTTATACGCAAGGTATGCCGTACCCACAAGCAGATGTTACCATATTAGAACTCCCGTTTCAGTGGGTTTACATGTACTAAGCGTTGAGGTTTATGTAGTAATAATACGTGGAAAGTAGACCCAAAAGTGAAAAGTGGGAGCTAACTAAAGATCACCACCACCGCCC